TGAGTGCTCTAGAATGTTCTGTTTTTTAGTGGTGTGTGCTTTTACAATTTTCTCTCTAATGATTTCACAAATCAAGGGAATTATAGGCACTGGTGATGAAAAAGGGATAAGACACTTTATCTTAGTGTTTAGGGATAGTCTTGGGATCATATCAAGTTTTATGCAAGATATCCTTAGGTTGGTTTTCAGTACTTTTTTTCTTTGCTTTATAAATAGCTTTTTACATTTTCTTTCTTTTTAAAATTTTGTTTTTGATGATTTTTACATAGTTGAATAGGGTGCGAAGGGTAAGGGCTAGAGGAAAGTGAGTGGGACCATTGTTTCCACATTCTTGTTTTTTTCTTCCTGTATCTGGAGAAAGGGGAGAGATAAGGGGAGAAGCCACACCCAGCCTCCCAACCATGCCAGGGTCCCTGATGGGGGCCATGCTTTGATGGTCCTGTTTAAGTGGTTTGATAGCTCAACATTTAAGTGGTTTGATAGCTCAACATTTCTGATCTTGCCACTCTAATCACAATGAAATCTCTCCAGAATCCACTGGCTGACATAGTCCACCTTAGAGTCTCTGTTTGCCCAACACTTGGCTGGGGTAGTTGATCAATTTGTCCTGTCCTCTGTCCTCTGTTATGGTACTAGGTATCCTCTGCAGGCTACAATGTAGTGCCACATTTTCCATGTGCATCTGGACATGCTGTCCACTGCTCTAAGCCACTGAGGAGCCCAGCACTGACACATGCACTTCACAGTCAGACCATGGAATCCGCAATTCTCTCCATGGTTTGAGTTCTGAGTCCAGCAGTTCAGTTGGGCAGATCCCCAAGGAAACTTCATCTGAGGTGATCCTAGACCTAATTTTGTGTGTGCTTACCAATACATGGTCTGGCACAGTCCATTGCCCAAATCAGTCTGGTAGTTGCAATTGCTGAATCAGTTGTCTCCAGCTCTGTCTTCTACGCAAACCAATGGGTATTGCAACCCAGCTCGATCCTGCCCATCACACATTTGGCATTCACGTAAACCAGTGGAAACTACGGCCTAGTCAGAGCAACCTCCAATAACCCCCACCAGGCCTGCCCCGTGCCCTGGTTTCTGTGTTTGCCAGCATGAACAGCAGACTGTCCAGTTTGTCCTACATCCCATTCAGCTCTCGTACGTGTCAATGGGAATTGAAGCCTAGTTCAACCCAGCCATCCCCATTATCCAGTCCACACTGGTGCTGGCAGGTGCCACTCTCCTTCTAGCCATCCCTGCCCCTAGTCCTGGTTCTCATGCTCACCAGTGGGAGTGGCAATCCAAGAGGGAGCCCACTGTTTCCCTAATGGGCTTAATCCCACTCCAGGATCTTGCACTTTCCAGGTGGTTCTGCAGTTTAGCTTGACAGAATATGCCCCTAGTACCAGAATCTGCTAGCTGATGCTGAGGCAAAGCCCAACCAACCCACACCCACTCTGGCTTATGCATACACCACTAGGTACAGTCAGCCCAGCCTGACTTTCCCCCAATGCAGCTTACATGCAGGCCAATAAATGTCATAGCCCTGCCTGGTCTGCTCCCTATCCCAGCTCTCACACTCACCAGTGGGAGTAGTGGCTCAGCAGGGGAGTCTTCCATAGTCCCTCTACAGGGTTTGCCCCTAACCTCTGGGTCTCACATTTGCTGTTTGGATGCTACAACCCACTCTGGCATGGTCCACCTCATGTTGGCATTTGCCAGTGGGTGCTGCAGCCTGGCCCAGCCCAGTCCAACCCCAGTTTTAGCTCACACTTATGGGGTTTACAGCCTAGCCCAGCTCAGCCAGCTCCCAATCCTGGCCCTAGTGCAAACTAGCTGGTATTGTGGTCCAACCTAGCATGACCCTCACACCATTCTGGTTCTAGGATTTACCTGCAGGTGATATGAACTGGCCCAACCTGGCTTGCCCCAGACCCAAGCCAAATGTGTGCCAGTGGGTATCATTCCCTAGTCTGGTCTGGGTTGCTCCCTGTCTTGGTTCTTGCACTCACCTACAGGGACTATGTCCTGACAGAGGAGATCCCCAAGCTCCTCCATCAGAACCTTTTCCAATGCTAGATCCCATGCACACTAGTGGATCCACGGTCCAGCCCTACTTCATCTACCTCCTGTCCTAGTAGCAACAGAGGCCTTTCCTGATCTGCCTTCACCCATTCCAGTTCTTATTGTTGGGTACTACAGCCCAGTCAAGCCTGGGCCACACTCAGACACAGTTCACATATGGCTCAGCAGGGGCAGAGTTAGCCCAGCCCATCCTACACCCACCCTGGGTATAGGTGCTGGAGTCTAATTCAATCTGGAGCACCCCCAGACCCAGTCCACACCCATGCTGAGGGACACTGTAGCCATGTCCAGACCAAATTTTAGCCCCCACTCAGGCTCTCATGCTCACCCATGAGAACCATAGCCCAGGGCATCCGCTTTGCTCCCCAACGAAGCCTGTTTCCAACTAAAGATATCGTGTGGGCCAGTGGTTGCTCTGACCCAGCTTGGTATAACCCCTCACCTGTCTTGGCCTTTGGCTTCAGATGCTGTAATCCGGCCTGGCCTAGCTAGCCCCTAGTCCTAACTCGCTGGCGGATGCTATAACCTGGCCCTGCTTAGTCTGCTCCCATTCCTGGCTCATGCAAACTGATATGTGTGATAGTCTAGCCTAGCATGACCTGCACATTTGCCACAGGGCTAAGATTTTCTTGGCCCTGCCAGGTCCCCTTCCACTCTTCCGTATGCATTTATATAATTCAGGAAGGCTTCAGTACCAAAATCTGTATTTCTCAGATATCAGAGCAAATGGTTTGAGAAAAAAACACTAACTGCAATGAACCTCAATTTTGAGTGAAAAATCCAAGCTCTCTATCTCCACTTAGCATCCTAATTAACAGCATGGCACCACTTATTGAAGAGGACTGGAAAGAAGAAAGATGGAGGGAGACAGGGGGACAATCAGAAAACTGCTGAAATGTTGAAGGAAAGAAAGTGAGGGTTTGATGCAGGGTAGGATCAGTACAAGGGAAGGGGTGATGAATACAAAAGGTAAGAGGAAGCAGAATTAGCACCAGAAGAGAAATTTTAGGCCTCTTTAAGCATGAACTTCTGTAGAAAAAAATAAAAAAGAGCAGAGCTAGGCATGCAGTTAAATCTGGAAGCATATATGAACAAATACCCCCAGTGCCTATGTGCAGAAATACAAATTAAACACATTTTTAAAATATCAAGATTGCTTGGGGAGTGCTGGAATTCCAACTAATGCTTCTTGTAATCCAATTCATAGATCTTGGGATGCTTCAGAAATAAAATTACCAAGTAGTCTACATATGGCTAGTGGCTGTTTGGAAAAATATGATTGTGCTACAGCACATGTGTAAGCACACAGATTAAATGGCCTCATTTACAGCTACAGAGCTATTCAGAAGTTACATAGGACAAAGTCTATTTCAACTGTTCTGAAGTTTACGCACAAATTATCCCCAAGTCATAAAATTTTGTTTCTTTAGTTTCTTTTGGGATCTTTTTTTACCTGTCACCTTTTCTTCTGACTTAGGAACAGTGTGTTCCTTTTCAGTGAAGAACATCTCTCTGTGGCACTGGGAGCTCTCTTGTGGGCTAATGTGACCATCAGTACAGCAGCCCATCCTGGGGCCTTGTTCTCTGGATAGGTTCATTGACAAGAGAACCTACATCTAAACCTTTATGCTCAGCAATACCCTGCATTTTGAAGCACATGCAACAGAACTTTGCACTGTTTTGGGGCCACGACTCCTGTGGTCCAATGGTGGAGTTGCTAGGCTGGGGCACACCATCATCTCTACCACTGTAATAAAAGAATGGCATACACTGCTTCTTTAACATGATGTCTTCCAGATATTTGGTAGCTTTTTGGATATGCATACCATTGATGACCTGGGGAATTTCCTGGGTGTTCTTAACGTGAATACAGAGATTTGAACTTCCTGATTTTTACAACTTTGTAGAGTATCCTGGGTCAAGTGAGTAGAAAATCATTTTTACTGATTACTTAAGGCTTTTTACAGGAAGAAGAGGAAGAGCTCCAAACAGCATTTAAAAGCAAACTGTAAAAGAGTACCATTGAACTTGATTAGCAATCAATTCTTTCCATGGCATTCCTAGATTACTCTGTGCTATACACTACAACCTTTTGCTCTCAGCTGTTCAACTACAATGTACACGGCAAGCCCCGATGCGCCATTTTCTCTGTAATGTGTATAAATTTTCAACGTTCTACCTTCCTTAACACAAATCTTCAATTTACAGAATGCCAGTGTTGAAATATATCTAATTCTCTGAGTGGTACAGGATGGCAAGAGTCAAAATCTACTTCAGAGACAGACCTAAAATTTATCAAACACACGGAGACATTTTGGGTATATAATTTTCAGTAACAGACTTTATTATTTTTAAACCAATTGTAAATACTCAAAGATTAAAGTTTAAAAACCAAAAACAAACATTAGTGCCACAGTTGCAGCTCATCTGCTGTCTAGTCTAGGAGTTAAAGAAAGAATTCTGCTTAATGGCAAACAAAGGATGTCTCTTGGCCAGAGATAAATTAAGAACCTTGTTGGTGTGTCATTATGGTGGTGATTAGCTCTTAGTGAAATTCAACTATGACTTTCTCATTTAATGAGGCTCTGGTTTTCACTAACAAAGCATCCCTTTTCCTAAAGGAAAAGACTAGTAATAAATAGTTATCTAGAGTGAATTAATATTTCTTTAAATACCTAGTTTCACTATTATTACCAAAAGTCTTATTAAATAGAAAACTAAGCTACTTACTAGAGGAGCACGTGCCACTGGTGACTCAATAATTATTGACTGAATGATGACTATCTTAAAGTTAATTCCTATATGTTATTCTGATTCAAAAACTTATGACTTGAGTAAACTCCATTGGCTGCTAGCTCGGTAACTAATTCAAATAGGGCTAGCAAGAAAGCTAGTTCATAAGACTTGCAACATAAGTTCTTGGGCCCTATTTGGGCCAAGTAATCTAGGTATTTATACAAACTAACCCATAGGCTAGCTGTGGAAAAATGTAAAAAATTTACAAAAAAATAAAGAGGTCAGCACCCAAACATACTACATGCTACTCCTTTAGGATCTATTCCTACTTGGCACTTGAGAAAGACTTTATTTTTCAGCCCGTTTCACTTTTCCTTGATCCTCTACTTTCTTGATGGCTGCTTGGATAGCCTCTTGGTCACCCAGGAACTGGTGGGGCCCAACAGCATGCAGATTTTCATCCAGTTCTAGGAGAATGGGGACTCCAGTAGGCAGAGTTACATTAATAATATCTTCATCTGAGATACCTGTTGATTGGAGAGAAAGGGTCAAGCCATTAAAGACAACCCAGCAGAAACTCTGTTTCATTATTGCTTAATCATACATTTAATTTATTCCATTTTAAATGTGCACCTGGAAGCAAACCAAAGTACTGAATGATTTCATCTTCAGTTTCTGAAAGCCAAATCTTTTTCAGAAATGAAAAAAAAAGGGGGGGGGTCAAGATGGCAGAATAGGGAAAGGACATATTTATTTTATTTTTTTAATAAGTTTTTTTAATTGATTACATTGCATTATGTGACCCAGTTTTATAGGCACTGGGATTCCCCCCTCCCCTCCCCATAACGCACCCCCCCCCCATGGTGGATTCTTGTTGCATTACCACAGTTCAAATTCAGTTGAGTTTGGGAAAGGACACATTTAAACGAACAGAAAATCATTAGCTAGAGTGAAGCAGAGACAGAAGATTCCAGGAAATAGGAGAGGACACTCTTATAGCAGAGGGTTACCTGAAGACCCATGTAAGGCATGGGGAAGCAGGGGAGACAACCGAGGGATGCTGCAGTGACCAGATACCCTAGTGGTGGTCAGCAAGTGGCAATTTGAGCTCTACCAGTGACCAGAGCTCCACTGGTAGCCAGGTGGGAAGGGGAGTTCACTGGGAGCTCAGGAGGTGAACCGAGGAAAAGAACGGCCTGTTCTGCTAATTTGTTTGATCTGGCCAGGAGCAGGCAGAGCAGCAGACTCCAAGCAGGCAGTGCAGGAACAGGGTGGGTTTCACAGCCCAGATCCCCTAGCAGTGCTACATCAGTGCTATTTGTGTAGTATGGCAAAGGCTTTGGGACTGGAAGGACAACAGCAAACTGTGCAAGTGCTAAATCATGAGTTAACTCATATCTGGCTCATTGCATTGCACCACAGGGGAAACCATAGCAATGTGGTATTCTACAGGTTCCACCCAAAATAGGTCCAGGTAGACCCCAGACCTAATAGGCAGCAGATCCATAATTTTACCAGTGCCATGTTGGGTATCATTTTTTACAGTATGGCAGAGGATGTGGGACTGGAGGGACAACAATGTGCTGCACATGTGCTGAGCTGGGAGCAAAGTCAATTCCAGTTCAGTGCATTGCACTGGTCCCACAAGGAAAATAGTGCCAACTTTGGCATCCTACAGGTCCCACCCAGGATAGATCTGTATGGCCCTCAGACCTAACAACCAGCAGGGTCCAGCAAGATCAGTACCACCAACAACCCAGTCTAAGACTATCCTGAGAACTGCTCGAACCTGGAAGTGAGAGAAAGGTTGTACAGGCAATAGCACATCGACAGCACAGCATTACAGGAGGTGGAGAGTGGTGAGCCAGGAGCTGGGGCTACAGAGACCATGGTGGTCTGACATAAGAGCCCAAGTCTGAAACGTGCAGGTGAGAGTTGCGCAAGTGACTACAAATTAAGAACTGGATGCTAACTGCAGTCAGTAAAATTGAACTGTAGACCTATGGGGTGACACAGCTTAGAAACCTGCCCTAAGGAGAAGAATCTGCTGACCAGAAGTGCAATGACCAACAGTAAAAGAAGAGACAGAGGCACAATGAATATTACTGAAGATTCCCCTGCAAAGAAGCAAAAACCTCTGCTAATCTCAGAGCTAAGTAAGGAATACACAGAGGAAATGGGGGATAAAGAACTTTAAGAACTTGTTATAAAACTTAACAATGAAAAATACATACAGGGATTTAAGGAATATGTCACACAGGAAATAGCAACACTGAAACAAAATCAAGCAGAATTATTAGAAATGCAGGACATAGTGCAGCAAATTAAAAACTGGGTGGATAGTCTCAACAATAGAATGAATGAGGCAGAAGAAAGAATCTCAAAATTGGAAGCTATTTCTTGCCACAATGAGGAAACAACCAAAAAGCTGGAAAGGAAGCTGACTCAAGACAAAAAAAGTATTCAATAATTAAGAGACACTATTAAAAGACCAAATATAAGAGTATTGGGGTTCCAGAAGGTTTAAAGTTGTATCCAATGAAATACTAACTGAAAACTTTCTTTATATAAGAAAGAATTGGAAAACTACATATAGGAGGGACACAGAAGTCACAATTGGATTAACCAAAAGCTATCATCACAATAACACAAGATAATCAAGCTCTCTTCAACTGAATATAAGGAAAAGATCCTTAAGTGTGCACGTGAAAAAAAAAATCAGTTAACACTTAGGAGTCCTAATTAGACTCACACCTGACTTCTCAGAGGAAACTCTATAGGCCAGAAAAGAATGGAGTGACATATTCCAGATTTTAAAGGGGAAAAATTGTCAGCCCAGAGCAACTGACCCAGTAAAGCCTTCCTTTGCTTTTGGAAATGAAATAGCATTCTTCCTCAGGAAAGACAAACTCAAACAATATGCCTCTTCCAGACCCACCCTACAAATGCTACTTAAAGATATTCTCTTGACAGAAAAAAGGAATGGCACCTACCAAAATCAAAAGACAAATCAAAATTAAAGACAAATGTGAAGAACATCCCAGTGGAACAGCAATAGAAGACTAAATCACACAATGAACAACTCATTGCTAAAATGACAGGACCAAATTATCACCTATTCATTATTAACCCTGAATGTAAATGGATTAAACTCATCAATCAAACGTCATAGATTAGTAGACTGGATTAAAAATCAAAACTCATTTATATTGCTTATAGGAGATGTATCTCATCAACAAAGATCAGTGGAAACTTTATCTCATGGATTTTGATGCTTTTGTTTTTACTTTCATTTCTTCAAAATTTTTTTTCCTCAATATTAAATTCTTTACTGACTCATGTCATAATACAGTAGCAACATTTTCTTCAAGAAGGTTCTTTTTTTTTAAAGATTTATTTATTTATTTATTTTTACTGGAAAGTCAGACATACAGAGAGGAGAGACAGAGAGGAAGATCTTCTGTCTGATGATTCACTCCCCAAGTGGCCACAATGGCCAATGCTGTGCCAATCTGAAGCCAGGAGCCAGGAACCTCCTCTGGGTCTCACACACCAGTGCAGGGTTCCAAGGCTTTGGGCCATCCTCGACTGTTTTCCCAGGCCACAAGCAGGGAACTGGATGGGAAGTGGAGCTGCCAGGATTAGAACTGGTGCCCATATGGGATCCTGGTGCGTTCAAGACGAGGACTTTAGCCACTAGGCCACCTGGCCAGGCCCAAGAAGGGTCTTGATTTTCATTTCTTCAGCTACACATTAATCATTCAGTAGCACGTTATTTAATTTCATTGTGTTGTAAGTTTCCACTTTTCTTCCTGTTGTTGATTTTGTTTTGTGGCTTTTCACTTAAGGAGATATGCAGTAGCTATGTAATAGAGACTATCGTATCCAGATGTAAAAATACAATGTACTGTGCATCTACTTTCAGATCAAAGATGAACTTCCAAAGAAACTGTTAAATATATCTTGACAATAGGATGCTGGACTCTGCCATTGTCCATGCCCTCATTATTAGGATACACTTAAATAGCAGAATGATGGACTTATGACTACTTATGAAGAACTATACTATTGCAATAGTATAAGGTAAATCAGTGGGGGAAGTGAGGGGTTTTGAGAAAGGGGTAAGGGAAATCCCAAAACCTATGGAACTGTGTCACAGAGTAATAATTTAAAAAATAGGATAAAAGAAAGAATTTGGGATCATTTAATACTAAATCTTAGAATAATAACTACTTCTTGGTACAACCTACTCCTGGCTGTTTCCTACCTAAACCTGAAAGAAATGAAATTATCTTCTCCTTGCCCAGGCATTTTTGTTACTGATTTCCATAGAAACCATTTAATATTGAAAAGTGGGAAAGTGAGCCAAGTGCATTGCTATAGTTACTTATATATGTAGTCCCTGTGTAGGTTGTAAAATTGTGGACTTTAACTAATCTCTGAATCTAGGTCACTGGATTAGAATATGGTTGGTTTTTCAACACTAAGTGAACTTGGAAAATTCTTGCCTAAGTCTAGTCAAGCAAGAACACTTCTACAGATGCTTATGAGGCATCGTCTGGAAGAACTGGGAAAGAATTTTATAGCATGCACTGTAAACAAGCTCACTTTCCTGCTATGTTTAAGGACAGGTCACCTATAATTCTTTTAAAACTACAGCTAAACTACAGGTAACTCAATTTTGGAAGAGTTGCAGTTAATAGTAATTGTAGTGGTAAAAAATAATACTGCCTTGGTAAAAATAATATTTTTATTTATATGTTTATTTTTTTAACAAACATGTCATGTCTTGAATACATACTACATGGCAGGTATTTAGCTAAACACTTTGTATGTATTAACTAATTTAATCCTCACTGCAATCCAATGAGCAAATGGGCTATTATTTTTCTCAATGTAACAAGTTCCAGCACAAAGAAGTTAAGTTTACATGTCTTGGTTATTTATTACATAATGCTGTTTGTTTCTCTGAGTTCAAATTGGGCAAGCAGACACTATGAGAAAAGAGATGGAGTGAGCAAACCAAAAGGCAGCTGAAAATATTCAAATTATCAACTTCTTTAAAAAAATCCATTTATTAATTACACAAACTTTTGAATTCTAACACCTTGTTTCCTTCCTTTCTATATTAAAACAAAGACCCTCAGTGAGCAGGTTCAGAGAGAGTCCAAAGGTTTTATCTTTACTTGGTGACTGCAAAAAAAGTTATTACCAGTTAGTTATCAACATACTCTGTTACCTTAATTAGCCACTGGTTAGAACTCTGAACGTCAGCCAAGAATTACAGAACTATCACATTAGATCTTTACCAAAGCGGTGGCTCATTATTAGATTTCCATGTCTAGACCCAGAAAACCTTACTATTTTATGTAGCAACTATACAATCAAATAGCTATGAAACAATGGAAAGAACACTAGGTAGGCAAACAGTGTCTCTTCCAAGCACACTGTCCTATCACTTACTCTGCCAGCCCTGCTTGATATATTAACTAAATACTTCCAGACAAGTAAATTTTCCCAGGCTTCA